CCTACCTACCTACCTACCTACCTACCTACCTACCTACCTACCTACCTTACCTATCTACCCCCCACCCCCCCCCACACACACACATATTCTGGATACATTTTGTCCAAAAAAAAAAAGACTAAATAAACCATTAGCAACTAGCCTTAACAAGAAATTAGGAAGCTTTCCAGTTAATGAAAACATACATGGATTTACTGAGTTTGGCATGGCTTGACTATGAAGGGAAAAATGAGAAAAAAGATATAGGAAATGAAACAGAAAAGGGATATTTAGAAATTATGTTTTACCATTACTGTTCCCTGTGGTTGAAGAGCCAGTGGTTGTCCCACTGCTACAACTTGCTGATGAGATTCACTTGATGGACTGATCATTTGAACATTTTGACCCTGGATGGAATATGCTAGAAAGCAAAACAGTCTTTAGATATGAACTTTCATATTATATTTTTAATTCAAATATACCCATATACATACATACAAGTATATTTATTAAACCTATTACTAATATTTATAATAAAAGTATTTTTAAAAGAGCTTAAAGAATCAGTTAACATGAACATTTTAATATATCCTTCACATTTAAAATTATGTTCTGCAACCAAAATAGCAATGCGAGCCTTCATAGGCACATGCAAGTTTGTAATTTCTGTGGACTGTTAAGAAAATTCAACCAGTGAAGAAAAGACTGGTGGTCTTTCAGAATCTGTCCATTTATGATTTTTTATATTAGACTGTCATTCACTACTACTTCCACAGATCCACATGCTATTCCAGCAAGCACTTGTGGTCTAATATATATTAAGAAAAGTACATTCTCCCAAAGTTGCAGTGAGTATTTTTGCATTCAGAGGATGTAAAATAAGACTAAATGATATTCTTACATTTACTGGAAAGGGCGGCAGTAGTAGTATTCAGTACTGTCAGGGCATAGTGAGGAGGCAAAGAACCTTTGCAAATAGCAGTAATAAAGGCATCTCTTGATGTTACAAGACTTAATTTTCCACATAATGCAGCCATTGTCAGCTCTGCTTTTAGAATATTTTCTGTGGCAGCTTCGTCGGTGCTGATATAGTACAAAGATATAATTAGCATAATCTGCATATATATATATAGTAATTTCTATTAAAAAGTACTTAAGAAAGCATAAATACCCATAGTATTCCATTGGAAATAAAATCCATAGGAGAAAAATATTTATATAAGTATTAGCCAAGGTGCCATAAGACATGGAAGATAATTACTAGGATAATTCTGAAGACACAAAACAAATTTAAAATAGAGCCTTTTAATAATATGAGCTTATTAATATCCTTCAAATATACATGCTTTGAAGATGTACATGTTGTAGAATCATTTCAGAAAATCGTTTTGCATACTGTGTTATGATAAATAAAATACAATAAAGTATTGTGTGACTCTAAAGTAACACAAATCTTTACATTAGCCTTCTCCAATCTTAGGGCTCTCCAGATGGGAAGATCAACCTTCCAGAATTCTCAGAAGTAGCAATTCTAGCCAGGGAAATCTGGGTGTTGAGGGAAGTCAGTGCATCTGGAGGTCTTTGCCTTATGCTATAATTTATGTATTTCAAACAACTGTTACATTATCTATTTGATATCAAAAATGACAAATCTCATGTGACCATATTTATGGTCACAGTATTTTAATATTCAATAGTTACAGCAAAGTTTTCTCTACAAGAATAGAGGAAAAAAGCTTGTATTAGTCTTGCTACTAATCAGTTAAAGTGCAGCAATATCCAATCCTTAATAGCTTTTTGGCCATAAACAAATATACTTTCTCTGTAAACTTGTCTGTGTTAGCTCTTGAGAAATGAACTTCTTAGCTAACATGCAATTTGTTCTACAGACCCTCAGCTTGTCTGTATGAAGTGAAAAGAGTTTTCAAAAATGAAACTATTTTAAAAAGATTCAATACCTAGCATCCAGAAGTAAAGACAGTGCAGCAAGAAGACCACACCAGCACGCATTCACCATTTCTTCCCAAACAACTCTGTGATCTTAAAGAAAACAAGTTTACAATACTATTAAATAATATTTAGCAATTCAATTATAGAAGACATATTTCTTGGTGCATTTTTGTTTTCATTTGATGTACAGGTGGTCCTTTTTTAATGACCACTTGTTCAGTGATTGTTCAAACTTACAACTGAACTACAAAATTACAGCTGGTCCTCGGAATTCTGGCTGTTGCAGTGATCACGATTTCTGATGTTCCCTGTCAGCTTCCCACAAGCAAAGTCAATGGGGAAGCCAGCAGGAAGTCACAAGTCACGGTCATGTAAGGTCTTCACTTAATGACCCGCATGGTCCTCGCTTAATGATGGCAACCAGGACTGCTAGAACTGCTCTTGCTAAGTGGTGTGATCACATTACATCACACTTTATGACTGTGTTACTTAGCAATGGCAATTCCAGTCTCAATTGCCATTGTAAACCAAGGACTATCTATATTTTATTCATATAGTACAGCATTAGAAAATTTGTTGAAATAAAGATATTCACATGCAATTCTACAATTTTCATTTTTCATATTTTCAATTTGCAATCAACTGCTTTAGGATAACACACTTCACCTATTGTCAGCCTTGTGAGGTAGTCCACACAAGAAGCGCACCCAGAAATACTTTATTGTAAGGTTAAGTAAGAGAATCTTGCAAGTCTGAAAGTATATCTCTCCCTCCTCACCTTTACAGTCCAAGAAACTAGGGAGAGTCCCTTCTGAGATGTTTGCCATGCCCCCATTGCTCCTGCAGGCTAAGCTGCTTCTTATCTGACCATTGTCTAGTCTGCGTCTCTTCTTCCTGTCTCCCAAGGTCAGTCCCACATTCCATTACATCTATAATTTTAACTTGCAATAAATAGTATAAAATGTTGTCTTTAAATATGGCTACTAGAAGTTTGGTAATAGAAGGGGAAATTTCTAGTAAAATAATACAAACCAGATTATAGGCCAAACTCCATTCTCCATTTTGGCTTTCTTTTTGTAAAATAAATGATGACATGGTGTAATATGTCATGTGTTGTTGTTCATCTGAGGTTGCATTTACCTACTTTTGAGAACTGCTAAGGACCATATTGTTATTATGTCTGATGACATGGTGTAATATGTCATGTGTTGTTGTTCATCTGAGGTTGCATTTACCTACTTTTGAGAACTGCTAAGGACCATATTGTTATTATGTCTGATGACATGGTGTAATATGTCATGTGTTGTTGTTCATCTGAGGTTGCATTTACCTACTTTTGAGAACTGCTAAGGACCATATTGTTATTATGTCGTGATACGTAAAACCACAGAACTCAAAGAGGGTGTACTTTCTTTTTCCCATCACTGTAATTTCAATTGCAAGATGGAAACATATTTTGAACATTTTCTTCTCTAACTTGAGAACTATAAAAACATGGAGTTCCAGATTGCAGCCAAAAGACTCTTATTTTTTAGAAAAATCTTTCAAATGTGTGTGTGTGTGTGTCTATATATATAGACACACACACACATATATCAATTTTAAAAATTAAGGATCAAATATTTTATCAGATAAACTGATAAGTACGCAAGCAACCTCAAGGAACGAAGGTAGCCAGCCAAAATTAATTTTCTAGCTATAGGGAGACAATAAAAACTGGGATGAATAGAAAGCAGAGCTCATCCAGAAAAACCCCTCCTATCAGATCCTTAATGCCTTCTTCCTGTTATTAACCCAGTTTCAGATATCATCATATACCTGTATCTTTGTCAGTTTGGCCAGATGCTGAATGAAAATCCTGGTGGTCCAAAGACTGTGCCGGTGAAGACTGCGCATCAATTGTTGGTACTTGATTGTCTATTTCAATATGTCCTAATTCTTCTTCAATCATATTAGTTATGCCACGGACCAGATCCAGCAAACAATGAAATGCTACTGACATGGCATAGCCTTCAGGAATTGTAGGTGGCTCAACTTTATCCAACATTTCCAGACTAAGATATGAAGAAAAACCCATCCAAAATCAATTATATGGAACTGCTGATTTACGAACAGATTTACTTTACCGTAAAGATCAGAATACAAGTCAATACTCAAAACAGAACTAAAACATGTAACCTGGGTCAATACGATAGCTGAAAATAAAACTGGTTAAAATGTTATTTTTCAAGCTGGATGATTTAGGGAAATAGAAATTCTCTAGACTGATTACACCAAGTAAGCCAAGATCAATATTTAATGCTCTGAACATCTTTGTCTCAAAAGAGTTAGCTCCTGAAGCTTTCAAATGCTATTCTGATGCAAAGGCCTGATACCATAAGAATAGCTTGTGTTATTTATTGCATTTTTGTTCTGGTCTTTCATAAGTTATGTTTGTAGGGCACAGAGAATAAAATCCACAATTTCGAGAAATAACAAAATGAAATAATCTAAAAATAAAGGGCAAAGACACAGAAATAACAAAAATATAACTAATTAAAATATCAAGCAACAAATCAAATCTATGGGCCAAAAAGACTTTTTGCATGGATGTGTAAAACTATCAAATACTGTAAAGAGTTCCATGGTTTGGACTAAGGCATGGAAAATGCCCTTTCTGAACTTGGCCCTAATGTAATATGATGTTGACCATCTGAAAACGCCCCACCTATGTGATTTTATGAAGACATAACAGTGATGGAAAAGAAATACTTATCTGCTGCCATCACTGTGGTGGAACAGATCCTGAAATAGTCTCTAGACCAAATTCAGTTACAGTTGTTCTGCATTCCCCTTCACTATTATTCTACTTCTTATATTTATCAACCCAAACTTCATCTAAAACCAGCAAGCTTGTTAGTTTGCCCAAAAGTGGAAGAGGGTGCACAATATTAAACAACCAGGATATTTCTCCATTTCAGATATTGACAGTGTTTCAATCAGTCTAAACCTTATGTATGTTTATTTAAAAGTTAACTCTATTTCATTAGTGATATTTTTATTAATCATTTGAACCAAGACAAATAAGAAGTTCCATTGATTAATTCAAACATTTGATTTTTTATTATAAAAATACGATATATTTAGCACTGCAAGATGCATTTACATCAAACGTTCCTTGAGATAATTAAAGTCTGAAATATACCCAAAGCTATCGTTTGTTTTTATTGCTAATTGCCGTAATTAGAAAATTACATTTTAATTACAAAGAGAACCAGTCCGATGTAGTAGTTAAGGTGCTGGACTAGGAGCAGGGAGACCCAGGTTCTAGTCCTCTTTTAGGGACAGAAGCCAGCTGGCTTACTTTGGGCCAGTAAGTTGCTCTCAGTCCTAATCAGCAACAAGCTAGTTGAGAAACCCAAGCTGTCATCACATCATGCATTGGTAGCTTCACTGTAAGAACTAGGAAACCACAGTACAAAAACAAGCAGACCCTGCAGCCATGCAAGAAAAAGCACTCTAATGAAGAACTACAACAATTTTATTACAAAACTTGGGATGGAACAGATGAGCAGTCAAACCTAATAATAATTTCCAATCCATCAGGAAAAGAATCAGCTTTGAGACCACGTGGCAAACCCCCCCAAAAAACCCCAAAACAAAACCAAACCAACCCCCCCCCGGCTTTTATCAAATAGTCATATTGTCCATTGCTATAATAATTACTTATTTAATTATTTAGCAAATTTATACAGCTGCCCATCTTACAAAAAGTGACTCTGGGTGGCTTACAAGCAAAGTAATGATTAAAACCATATCGCAATATAAAAAAAATGAGACATAAATAAATAAATAATGAGCAAAAATAAAAACATAAAAGAATGAAACATAAAAGAATCCCAAAATAGCGGGAGGACAGCCATCATTTAGCCTCATTCAACCACTTTGCAGGCTTGCCATGGGATCCCCAGGGTTGATGGAAGAACCATGTTTTCAAGGCTTTCCGGAAGGCTAACAGAGATGGGGCTAACCTCATCTCAGGGGGAATGATGTTGCAGAGGGCGGGGGGTTACAGCATTTATATTGCTTTATAAAGTTTCCAAATCATTCTAACTGGTTTCTCTTTACAATGTACCACCTTAGTATATGATTTCTTTTTATTAAGACTTTTTAAAAAGGTAAATGGAGTAATAACAACATCACTACCAATTTTCTATTACCCTGAATAGCAGAATATGTATGTGTTGAGGGAATGGAGGATATTTCACTATCTGCAGTTTTGAGAAGATGAATAGAACAAAAGTTTATAAAAACAGAGCAATAAATTATTTCACTTACTAGGTAGCTTTAGCACTACCCTGTGCTGATATATTGAGGATAGGTATCCAAGTACCTCTATATTCAAAAGCAGGTAATACAGTCACACCTCCACCAATCCCTAACATTCCGGGATTGGACTGTGCTGAAGTTGTACCACCAGGAACATTGCTTCCTATGCAAACAATTAAGAAAAAATAATGTCATACATTGCTCTGTGCAGCAGAACAAAAGACTTTGAGAAATTTTAAGTATTAACAATTTAATCTTCATTTACCATAGTCCTGCAATATGTAAATAATTCTGAGATGACCCAGAAATGAATTAGCTAACAAGGTATTTTAACAGTGAAAAGTTTAATTTCTTGATGTAAGGTTTCAGAGTCCTTTCATAGTCACAAAAAGGTAAAGCATATTCTAAAGATCGTAGACTTCCCTCTTATCAAATATGAATTTCTTAATGCAAAAAAACAAATGAATAATCATATAAATAGAAAGTTGTTATAACAGAGACATTCTAAAATATTAATAGGAATAAATATATATTGAAATAGAATTGGTTCTTGAGAAAGAATTGTTGGCAAACAATTCAAAACAATAATATACATACAATTTACCTGTTTGGTTTATTGTAGCTGAGGCACTCCCTGTGTTTGGTACAAGAAACAGTGATTGAATAAATGATCCCAGAGCATTCACAATGTCACGGAATACTTTGGTAGAATGCTGCTTCATATCATAAGATTGGCAAAAGGACCTGGTAAAAGTATCATGAATAAAAACATTATTACTTTTCTTTTCAAACATCTACTGCATAAACAAACATTTTGTGACCCTATTTTTTAAAATAATTGTTCTTAATTTGAAATTAGGAAAAGACCTCATGTTTTATAGTAGAGCTTTCAAATTCAAGATTTCAAAATAGATTTTAAATTCAGGGCATCATAATACTTTTTGGCACACCTAACAAGAATTCTAGAATCTCTCTTAATATTTATGTATCTTATTAAAAATTTCACTTAATTTGGTACATCAATTCAGGAATAATCATTACCTTAGGAGTTGTGGTTGCACACAAAGTCTGTGTATGGATTCTACTGCAACAGCTCTTAACCACTGAGGTTTATCTGCATCCAGAAACTTTACGAGTAATGATAGAAAGATCTCACATTCAGTTACCTAAACAAAAAAACACTGTTTTAAGAGACAAATACTTATAATTTACACTAATGTGTGTGTGTCTATATACATATACATACACATACACACACACATACCCAAATAATTAAAGCAATAGGCTATTGTTAGTCACATGTGCTTAGATTTAGCTACAACCTCAGTTTTAATGGGAAACAGGATTAAGAAGTCTTCTTTCCAAACAACTAGAGAATAATTGAGTACATTTTTTCAAGGTCATATAGTTTTGTTCAATTGTGTACAAACAATGGCCTACAACAAAACCTTCTGGAATTTACCTCTGAAGAGATTTATACAGAATTGTACTGAAAATGACCCAGAGTGCCAATATACAGACAGAAATAGCACAAATATCACATTTTGGTGCACAAGATATTTAAGATATATCATTTGAACAATAATGGTATTAAAACTGTATTCTTACCAACAAAGTATAGAACTGTTTGATTAATACAGAAACAACTCTCAAAAGGCGCATGCAAATAGGAAAATAAGGCTTTTCCACTGGTGCAGGTGAAGATGAAGTACTAGAGCCTTGTCTGAATTTGATATTTGGTGAGAAGAGTTTAATCACGAGCGGGCAAACCCTTTCTTTAAGGAGAAAACTAAATTCTTGATGCTGAAAATAAAAAGAGTGTTAAAAAGCTACATTTTAACAGAAAAAAACCCCAGTAATCTTTAGGAATGTTAAGTTTATATTAACATTCCAAAATACCCACACAAACTTATGCTCCAATATTTTTTCAAGTTTTGGCAGAGTAGGTATACGTAAAACACATGTGATCTTATCTAACCAACTATGAGTTGATAAAAATGTTATGGGGCAAAAATGGAAAAAACTAAAATCAAATGATATTCGGTTACGACTACTTAATTTTGTATGTTCCTAATAGGTTATTTAGACATTATTAAGATTGCCAACATTTGAATGTTAACATATACTTTCACACAGCTTAACAAACTTTCCCAGCCCACTTCTATTTCTAAGCAGAAATATAGGTTATTAAACTTACATGTCAGAAATCCTACCAGCTTTTTTCTATGATTAATAAATAGAAAATTCACCTGTAAGAATACTTGTGGGAAATCATTGAGGACTGATTCAAGTAGCTCCAAACCAAATGTTCGAGTCATTTCTGTCATACCTACAAGCCAGTAAGGGGCATCAGCATTAACCAGTTGACAAAGATCCTAAAAACAAACAAACAAACAAACCATTATCCTATATTTTTGTTATTGCAATCAGTCTGGAAAAACTACAAAGTTCTACTCCTTTAGTCATTCTTTTCTCCTTCTCTTCCCAAATTTACTTATTAATAAACTTAATATGACATTTGCAACAATAATTCTGAGCCTGTGGATAATTCTATAAAATATTTCATGCTGATTATGAAGTATATAATCTGCCTTTCATAATTTTGTAAAAACTCCAGAGTTTCCAGGACAGTGGGTTTTATAATTAGAATTCCATAGAATAAATGTGTTTGTTAGCTCAGCATTTGTTTAGCCATTCCTTCCCAATGCTGATATATGATTAGCTAATCCTGCATTCCTCAGGCAGGTAATATAATTCAAAAAGAAGGCCTATATTACTGCAATCCTCTGCTCCCTTTTCTGCATGTCAGCACACATGGCTTAATTCTAGCAAACTGTAAGAATACAGAAATAAAATACACTGTCCTGCTCATTCTGAATTGAGAAGTTTTCAACTGTTACAGAAGTATTACACCAGTGGTAACTGTCAAGCAATTTGTAGTTTTTTCTTTTTCTTCACTCTATGAAATGATTTAGAGAAATTTCCAGTATTTGTTGCCTTGATATACAAAACCACTCTGCCTGCCCTCACCCCCAACCCCTGGTTTGTTTATTTCTTTAAAAAAAAAAGGAGAACCAAGATTTATAATTACCTTGTACATAAGAACCAGAAGCTATGGGTTAATCATAGTTTGCCAATTCAAATGCAATGATAAATTACAGTTTCCCTCAGATCAGGAAAAAGTAAAACAGCAAATGAATGGTTGGAGCATATGAGTCTAAAGATGTCTTAGCCCCCGAGTGAGTGAGAACTGTCCCATTATAAATACAGTAAAATTGCCTTCACTCAATTTTATTTTATTTTTTTGGTCTAGTGATATAAACCATCGATTTGTTTCTTCTGCATTTAGACAAGAACATCCTGTCTGTTCATTAAGGGCTTTTAATATATCCAATTTTTTTACCATGTCAAATTGCTCCTATAAAATCTTTTCAATTTGACAAGTATCTTTAAATATGGCACATTTTCTGAGAACAATTAGTTCTGAATATGTCCTCAGATGTATCACTTCCTTATATTAAACAAATAGCAATTCTGTTTATCTTAACTAATGCTACAATCCTACAATCCAGGGAAGATGTTGTAGGGGTAAAGGATTTATTAGATTTTCCCATCCAGTACCTTTCTGCCAGAGGAGAAAAAAATTGTTCCATTCTCTGCAATTACTTCCATAAACATGATCGCTTTATTATACTGGGATATGAATACTGGATAGAGGGAAAGGGAATTTGACAGTGGATGTTCTTGGGTCTTCCATGACCCCTAACACAAGAACAGTTTATATCACAACCTAGTAGGCATAATGAATTTCTTTCCATGACTAAGGAACTAAGGAAGAGGCAATATAAACACACATTTATTCTTTGTCCTGCTGACATTCAAGCTCTCCCAAAGTATAGGTCTATAACTGCTCCCAACATTTTCATTAAATTGTGTAGCAAGTTCTGCTCTACCAGACTTACTGTACATACTGGAATTTTTCTGTGTGTTTGCCTTTGAGTCAGTGTTGACTCCTGATTACTGCCTGGACTAATCCTTGCAGTTTTCTTGGCAGGATTTTTGAAAGTGGTTTGCCATTGCCTTATTCCTAGGGCTGAGAGAGACTTTTTCACATAAATTAGTTCACAGATAAATGATATTGCTTTTGGATTTATTTATCGTATTTATGTCCCACCACAATCAGTTCATCTCCAAGTAGCTATATAATTTATGTGGAGACCAATTTACATGAATAGGCACCAGTTAATGAAAAGCATATAAATTAAAAAAATATTGAAGTGTCAATACCTGAAAAAGCATATATGCATCTTTAGCACATGGTTTTAAGGTGCTTACAGATCTTCTGTTACTATTTCCTTGAATTCCTACTGGTTCTTCAATAATACCTGTATTAAATACAGATCCAATTTAGAAAATCTAAACCGAATAGTTGGATTGTCAAAACTGAACAAAACCGTATTCTTTCTCTCTCTCTATAGTGGATTCAGTGAAAGTAAATAGTTGCTCTGTCCTGTTAACACTAGGCAGGAAAGAGTACACATATCTAGCAAAAAATTATAGTAGTAATCAATAAATGAATTCTCCATCTAATCACAAACTGAAGTGTATATATGGCAATTGCTGAGCAATGCATTGACTATATAAGTGCATGTGTATGTGTAGTGGGCATTTGTGTATGTATGCAAAAATTAAACAACCTTTATTTTTGTAAATTAGGATAGCAGACTGGATGCACTTCAGTCTGATCAAGAGAGACAGCTAATTGCCCTAGATGGTCTTTTCTATCACTACCTTTACTAGAGCTCTAGTAAGCTGTTTTCAAAGAAAAGTTTACCATGTACGCAAGAGAACAAAAATTAAATATCCACTACAATACAAGATATACCCACCTTTATAGCGTTCATCCTCAGCAACCACTCTTTCAAAAACAACAGTAACTACCTGCCGGACTGTGGCTGCCGCAGTATTATTGGTGATGTTATCTTTTGTGAAGTGCAATCGAAAACAAAGAACAATTGCCTAAACAGTAAAATTTAAAACAATATCATTATTCAAGAGAAATGTCATAATTCTTGCAATTTATATATAAATGTTTGTCTGGAAATGGTAATTTCCACTGTTAAGGACACGCATGGTATTATAAGTGTGGTCTTCCTTATCCTACTGAGCCTGGCTTACCCAATAAGAACAGCCCAGTGTGAATGCAACATGGATTGTATTCAGTGATACTCATAACTTTCTTCTATTCCTCTCCCATTATCAGGGAGATTGGAGCAAGGCTAAATGAAGGAAATTGGCTTCCCCTTTCTAGTTGTAAAAAAAAATGAAAAAGAAAAGAAAAACATAAGGACAGTTTAAACCCAGCAACTGGTAGTCAATGTGTAGAGGCACAGACTGCCTGAGGTGGGGCCTAGATTCTCTGACGCATGTTACCAAATTATAACTGCCAATACGCAATCTGGCACCAAACACTGACATATTTATTTTATTAGAATATACACAATAGGAAAGGAAATATGGATAGGTGCTAGGTTTATGGGAAAAAAGCTTAGCTTTCAAAGAGACAATAACTAGGCTCATCCACAATATAGCCTAATCTTAGGGAAAACAGAAATAAACTGAATAAGGCTTTGAGCATATCCAAACGAAAATAAAATCCAAATGCACTCAGATTACTTATCATTTGCTGGCTGGCTTACCTACCCTTTTCTTCTGCAGATCTAGGTTTATCACATGTGGGCTAAAAATATATGGGCAACTACTAGAGGGCAGAAACAGAAAGAGAATTTTGTGTGTGTGCGTGTGTGTGTGTTTCTGTATGTTTTCTAGTGGCCATTTGGATTGCTGCAGCCCAGATAGTACGCCTAACAAAAGTTGCTTAGATATTAAATTAGATATTATATGTGCATGGCCCTGCAAGCAGTTTGGAGTTATTGTGCAAAATCTCTTGAAGGTACTGAGTTGGGAAAGTCTTTTAAAGCGTTTAGTTTCTAAATTACATCTGAGAGGAACTCAGAATTCAGTCAGAGTAACTAGAAATGGGATTTCAGATTTTTTAACTGCTACAGTTAAAAACAAGACTGCTACAGTTTTTTAATTTGCTACAGTTCCAACAAGAAGCCAGAAACCACATTCTTTTACTTTAGGAAAGAAAGTGGCTAAGAGATAAAGATTTACAGAGTTATGCATGTTATAAAGTGGACTTCTTTTTCCTCATAATAAAAATATTTAGACAGTTGATTAGCAATAGGTTCAAGGCAGTTGACAGAAGTGTATCTTCCCACACACTGTAAGTAATGTATACTCTGTTGCAAGATATAGCAAATACCACCATCTCCTCTATCATATATAACTATCTCCTCTATCTATAAATGTTTTGGAGAACAGAAAAAGAAAGATGTGAAACTTTTTAAACAAGATTACAGTAGTAGCGTAAAAAGCTACAATGGTGTGCAATTTTCCTGTTGATTTCCCGTGCTGTGTATACACACTAAAACATGGTGGAGAAACTCAGTTGATGAGTAACCGTGAAACAGGTACAATTAGTTGATGTCACTTTGTCATTAATTAATTCTGAAGTGCACAAAATCATTACCTTAGAAAGTGCTTCATCGTGGACAACTGTATTGGTTGTTAATAATACAAGAACAGTTTGAAGCAGCTTAAGTTCCTCAAGGCTATTTTCCATAAGTTGCCAAAGCATATTTATAACATTTCCAGCAGCAACCTTGGAAGAAATTCAGACATACAATTAGATGCCTAGACACAGAGGGGTCAGTCTTTAAATGGGTATTTGTTTTTAAATCCAGTAGACAATACATATTGAAAATATTTTCCTTCCTATTTTTATTTTTGATATTTTCATATGTACTTAAAGATGTTGGGCAAGGTTACTGAAAGTGGTCACTGTTTAATGACCACTTGTTCAGCAACTATTTGAACCTAGAACAGCACCAAACAAGTGGTAGTTACGACACATCCTCATACTTACAGCCACTGCAGCATCCCCACGGTCACGTGATCGCGATTTTGTGACCTTCCCTGCCGGCTTCTGATGAGCAAAGTCAATGGGGAAGCCGGCAGGAAATCGCAGTCGTGGGAGGTCCTCGCTTAATGACCCACATGGTCCTCGCTTAATAAGAGCAACTGGGACTGCCGGAACTGCCATTGCTAAGTAGCGTGGTCACATGGTTTTTTGACTTACGACCACGTTGCTTAATGATGGTGTTTCCGGACTCAATTAGTGTTGTTAAGTGAGGACTATCTATATTGGGAAATGAAATATGGTATGTTTAATCTTGAATACATAATAGAGGCCCTCCCCAAAGTATATATACTTATAAATTAAAGACATACATTTTCTTAAATTTAAATCATTCATTAACAGAAGAAAATGTATTTTCATTATATTTATTCAGTACTTTTCAAAGATCTTATAAATAGGGTTGAATAAATTATCTCAGAGCTATCAACATTAGTGGTATTTTTTTTAAATCATAATCCGAAGTATAAGGCTTAGTCTTGATAGAAAATTCCCAGTGGCCTTGCATAGCTCTTCCTACTTTTTAATGTTTCATCAATTATGGCTTCTGTTACATTAGCATCAATAATTGCTTCAATCTGTATATAAATAGAGCCCAGTACCATTTCTATACTGCCTGTCAGGAAGGTTACACCCAGGAGATAAGTTGTCCATTCCAATTTTAACTTCAAAACAAAAAAAATCTATTTATGTGATGAAAAAAGAAAGCTGGTTCACACCTAATTAATAAATGTGTTTTAGAAGATATTATCTGCCTAAACTAAGCATTAATTATATTATGATACATTAATTCTCATAATGCTATATGTAGTTCTGAAACTGAAAGGCCAAGTGCCTAGTGAGAAGCAACTCACTATTCCAACAATGTGGAATCTTCTCCCCCTGAGGTGAGGCTGGCCTCGCCATTGTTGAGCTTCCGGAGATCCCTTAAGACTTGGTTATGCCAGCAGGCCTGGGGACTCCAGGGGATGGGGGAATGAGTGAGGTGGCGCCCTTATTTTTAACTTTTTATTTTCTGTTTTATTTTGTTTCATATATTTTTAATATATTTTACTGTTTTTAGCTTTGTTGTATACCGCCCAGATTGCCTGTGGTGAGATGGGTGGCTATATAAATTGATATAATAATAATAATAACAACAACAACAACAACTCCTCCCAATATTCTGTAATAGTATTACACTGGTACCTCAGTTATCTATTACAATAATCTCAAATTTTCATAATTATGTTCCTTAATGATGTTTAATACCAGGAAATGTTTCTACTGTATAAAATCAGTTTGGTTACCTTACCTCTGAAACAACTTCATGAGACATGAGCCTCTGGATAGCAGCTAGACACAGCTGAGTGATTTTTGGTTCTTTTGTTCCACAACCCATTAGAAAAGGCTGAACCACTTCTGAGCTATTCTCTTTCAAAGCTTTGAAATTGAGGAGAGAAAACACAAGCAAGCAAACAAACAATAAATCAGGAACTCTTGGATATCTTTAATTATGATAAAATCTGATGAATGTTAATACAAACCATTACATGGGTATTTTGTGCAAAACATTTAAAACAAGACATGCTTTCCATCTTGATATTTTTATCTTAAATTAATATGTAAGATGAGAACTCTTTGAAGAAAGTACAAGGAAAAGGGAGCTGTGTGAATTTGCTTTCATCAGCCAGTCAGGTTTCTCCTACATTCACTGTTTTCTTGTTCAATTCTCATATATCATCCATTTTGATGTTCCTATGTGCCCATTTTATCACATGCTTGAGTTAATGGCTAAGACAGATTTTGTCTGAAATCTTTTTGAGCCATATTGCTATCAATTAACAACAATCAGTACTCAGTAAGGTAGATAATGACTTGACACAACAGAAGATAATTCATACTATATAGTCATGTCATCAGGATAAAAGATTCTGAGGGTTATAAGTCCCATTCCACTATGTAGCCTTTTTCCAATATAAATTTGTTCCATTAGACTATATTCTTAATAGTGGTTTCATAGTAACAAGTTTAAATCATATGCTAGACTTCAATGCTATCAGGAATATAAAAAACTTTCAGATGTGCAAATATTACAGAAATAAAATCTGATTCCAAACAAGATTTTAACCAAAGCCTTGCCTCTCATTTATACTGAGCATTACATGCAGTAATGTTGCCTTACATTTAACAAATTTAGCAACAAATCCAATTGAAGAAACTAATGGCATGTTTTTATGCAAAATTCATTTATATTACTCATTTGGAGGCAAGCATCTTTATGTATTCATATATTTCATCTCCTGACAGCCTATGAGAAACAAAATACATCCTTTTTAACTTAGATACTATACCTGATCTTAGGCAAAAGGCCAAAAAGCTATTTAACTTAGAGAACCATCTTAGGTTGAGATACTAATGTAATGAAAGAGCTTTAAGTATGCATATTACTCCCTTAGCCATTTCTAAACCAAGTCCAGTAACTACAGTGTCACCAATGAAGATTAACAAGGATTAGTAACAGAGATTAAATTCTAACTAGTAAGACAGAAGAATGAGAGGCTTATTGAAAGAAAGAAAAAAGAAAAAGAAAAAAAGATGAAAGAATCAGTAAGAATGTTTTAATCTGAATTTCCAAGAAAATGTAAGTAGCAAAAGTATTTAGATATAAGATATCCCACATTATTCTGAAGCTCATTAAGTTTGTCCTTAATCATAGAGTGTGTCTGTCCTTATGAATGTTGACTTTAAGAGGTTCCTTTAGAATATAAAGGTAGTATAGTGCTATAATTAAAAATCAGTACTTCCATGACTTTCCAAATAACCTAAATCGGTATATTGCTCTGGAAAATCTACCTTTATACCACTCATACTACAATATTGGATTTTAAAACACTGAAGGATGAATTGTGCCATGCTGTTTAATAAGATGCTGACATTTAGACCAGTACCCTGATTAACTTATACAATAATTAAACACCCTCCAGTTAAATAATTAAATTAAATTAAATAGTAGTAGAAAAAGCAGTAATAAGTCTTGACCCCTATGATGAAGCTGTAAATATAACCCAGATATCAAACTATCTTCTTGTTCTTCAAACAGATGAGAAATATCTTAGAGCTATATAGCTGTCATTCCTACTTCCTCACCTATGTTAGCATCAATGGCTGTAATGAACACAAAAATAAAATAAAAAACCAATAATTTTAGTGCTACTAATATTAACATTAAAATATTGAAAAAAATCATCTATAAAAAGTTCATATTTGTAGTTCTATAACA